TCTCGGGTATACCGCAAAAAACGTTTTCTTTTAGATTACAAAAAGGTATAAAAAAGAGTCGGGTTCGGGGGATGGTGGAGTATTTGACTTCATCTGTCTTCTTGAGAGAACCGTATTGTTAATTCAATCTGCCTCGAGCGAGACGCCGATTAATACTTCTATTCCAACAAAAGCATAAAATTCATTTTTTACCTTAACTCTAACCCTAACCCTAACCCTAATTTACTAAATTTGATAACCCTAACCCTAAATCACATGAGTTGGGTCGATCTCTTCTTAATTTGGGATCGTCCCAAAAAAGAAATTCTATGGAATTTCCTATTAGAAATCGCTCAAAAAGGAAATTCGCTCAAAGCGGATTTAATTTATCCTTTTTTAAAATCACATATTTAGAATCGACATGAACCCTAGAAAATTTGCATGTCGATCTTGAATCACGCCAACCAATGAATGGTCGTCACATGTCTGTCTATTTTAAGAAGGTCATGTGAAATGTCATGCCGATTGCTGATCATCACCTAATAAAAAATCAACATAACTCACATGTTTTAATAAATTTACTACTGTGGAATTTCCTGTTTCGAAAAATTGTTTTTCCAGAACCAGATTACCCGGGACATTAAAGTTTCAGCTTATTTTCCTAATTTGGTAATAATTTTTATTATCATCTTATCGCTCTTTGCAAAATTATGCGGTCATGTGATAAAACGATCTACTAATAAAATGCCGAAAACCAGTGATTATAAAATACGTGTCATATGAAAAAATTTATATTACATATTAATAACTAAATTAAAATGCATGGAATAATAGACGAGTGTTTAGAGTAATTATTTGTTATGTTTTGGATTTTTTTTGAAAACTTTCTTATAGTAACTTTTTGCTGATTACAAAATAAGGTAAAAACGATTACTTATAGATTACCTCCGATTACCAAACATTATTGAAGTTGTTTTTTAATTTTATTAGCAAAAAATAGTTATTTATATTGTCTTTTAACATATTATTTGATAATATATATTGTCTTTAACATATTATGTGATAAATATATTCATAATATATTTTTTTTTCTTTAGAAATAATATGGTTCGTGCATTGAGTGAAGATTTACGTTGGAGAATAGTTTATTTAAACTCTGATGGATATAATGTACAAGAGATATCTAATCTTTTACATATAAGTAAATCTACTGTAAATAAAATACTTAATATTTATAGATGTTGGGCATGTGTAGTTAATCCTTTAAAAAAAATTTTGGGTAGAAAAAAATTATTTACACGTAAAGAGATGGATATTTTAAAATCTCTAGTACAAAATAAAGTAGATTGGTATTTGGATGAATTAGTATTTGAGATGGAAAATTATACAAATAAAAGGGTTTCAATATCAACATTGTGGAGAACTCTGAAATATATTGGAATAACTTGAAAAAAGATATTTTATTATTATTATTTATAGTATTTATAATTATAATTAGTATTTTTAAAATAATATAAATAAATTTTAGTACTGTAAGTGACAAAAATAAATTGTCACGAAAATTAGTTTATGGGACACGCGTTTGGTAATATTTAAAACTTGATTATTTTAATTAAATATTTAGTGTTCCTAAATTGTATTGAAAACTAAAAATTTAAGCCCTGATCCTGAATTCTTGTTTATTTTAATAAAGTCCAATAAATCAATTACCTCAAGTGTCAGTACTTATGATATTGATCCTAAGGAATTGATAGAATGTATTGATTTTATTAATTTGAAACGAAAATTCAAAAAAAAAAAAAAGAGATCATTCTCTAATATCTCAATTTTAGATTGTGATTCTCAAGAATCCAGAATACATGAAGATAATATTAATGTTAAGAAAATCAAGTAATACAAATGCATTTAAAGAAAAAAATTGAAAATTTCGCCGTCTTTGGATTCTAAAAAGTTTAGTTTTTTTGTTTTGAGTATAAAATTTTATTGTTTTTTGCTTTGAATATAAATTTATTTTTATTAATCTAAAAGCAAAGAAAAAAATTTTTTTTTGTGACAATTGTTAAGTAAACAATAAGCAATAACGCGTGTCATGAGAATTAAACCATGAATTTAATTTACTCACAATGCATGATGTGATGGTGATGACATTATTTATTATTTGATCAAAACAAAAAATTGGAATTTTGATGCAAGGGTCACTTTAAATTGGTAAAAGCAATAAAATAATTAAGGATATAATAATTAGCATTTAATCAATCCAAGTAAAGTTAGTATATGTGAAGAGCCTAGGCATAATTTCCTTCTACTAAGACTCTAAAGAATACATTTTCACTCATCTTTTAACTCATATTTAACGCGAGAAAAAAAAAAAAAAGTGAGCAGTAGAAAATTACAAATCGTGATCATCGATCGAGATGAATGATGATGCAATAGAAATATTCACGATATCGAAAATTATTTTTTTATTACAATATTACTAAGATTACATATAAAATATATTAAATACAATTTGATAATTCACTAATTCACATATTAAATTCTCTCTCATTGCATGAATAACGTCAAATAATAACAAATAAAGAATATTATGAAATAACTGAAGAATATTAATTTTTTATCCTATAGTATTCTTTTTTCAAACTTTATCGATACATGCCTCTGCAATACATTTCCCGTTTTCGTAGATTTTAACGTGTCTCCCGAAATATTCATGTAGTTTAGCTTTAACGTAAAATTCAAATGCAAGAGTTCCAGGTGCACAAATCATCCCACATGGAATTTCTTTTTTATCACAGCCTTCAACTTGATATTCATATTTGCAACCTTCTTTGAATCCTTGATTAAATTGTCCGGTTACTTTACAGGTATCTAACTTAAGTTCACAAATGTGAATTTCACCAACAACACAATCACTGTATTCGTGGTTGTGTTCTTTAAAACTAATGCAACCGACAGCACCGATAACACGAGATGTCAATTCAAATGGAGACGCATTCGTAAAGCAGGTAAAGAATAAGGAAAATGCAACCAAGATAACAGCAAATTTAGTTTTTTGAATCATTTTTTAAATGTAAAAAAATATTAAATATAATAAATTTTTTTTTGTTATTTTTTAAGAACAATTAATTAAATCTTTGTTGTTGTTATTGTTGAATTTGAATTTTAGGAAGAAGAAAATGTTGTTCTTTTATATCTAAATTTCTCGTCCTTTTTGACTTAAATAAAATATAATTAATTGAATTCGAGTTCTTTCTCAATAACCAAGAAAAAAAATTAGAATAAGTTATCCCATTTAATTTTACAATCAAAAAAAAAAAATAATAATACAATTTCTAAGAATGAACATTATTTTTACGGAGACTCTCCAAGACATTTTGGCGTAAAAAACAGAGAATTTTCAATGAAAATCAATGAAATAAAAGAGAAAAAGTTATAATCTTTCTCTTCTCTTTACAATTATTTATACAAAAATAGAAAGGAAAGATATAATCTAAAAATAAAATAAATTGAAAAAAAAAATGAAAATTTGACATGTAGTATTGTTTATATAGATTTTGAGATGGAAAAATGGAATATTAATAGCAGCATAGTTTGTTGTTCGCGTGAAGATCAATTTGTCTATGAGTAGAGAGCATTCAAGCCTCAATGTAGATTCTTTCTTCTATTAGTAATAAAACTTGGTCTTAGAAACTTTATTATTAGAATAACATTCTTAATTGGCTTGCATTATATGAAATGAACTTTTTTGTTAATTTTTTATTGTTTCTAATTTAATTAAGATTAACAATTATGAAAATCTCTCATCCGGAATCGGAATATTTTATCATGCATATATGCAAACAATAAATATAAATAAATATATATTATTTATTTATATATAAGTTAAAATAATTATAAATCAAATATAAATAAAATATAAATAGAAAATAACTATAATAAGTACAAAATAGGTATAACTATAGTAAATAAAATATAATAACATTTAAATTACAAAATCATCATCGGTAAAGTTTTCATTATTAAACACTTTCCACCACCAATTATTAAGTAAAAAATTTTCATCCCGTTTTTCTTTTGGTTTCATTCTTTCTTTTTCAATATTTAATTTCCAAGGTTTATCGTTCATGATGTAATGAACATTTCTTATTGAATGATCTTGCCACATAAGAGCGTGACAGGATCTTAAAGTTTTTAAGGCATTATAAGTATAAGGTAAAGGTTTCCAATTATTTTTAAACACTTCATTCAATAAATCTTGATCAGGAAAGTAAAGTTTTTCTTTATTAGGATGATTTATTAAATGATTATAAATTTTATTAAAGGTTTTAATTGAAGGAATAAGTACTAATAAACCGGAGTTGAAATAAGAGAGAGGAGAAGTTTTTGGCGGCATATCGGCAGATTCGGGAGCTATTGGACCTTTAGTATAAGCACAATTCTCGGGAATCCTACAAAAGAAAATCAATAAAATTAAATATTAATAAAATTAAATATTAATAAATTTATATATTCAATAATATTAATAAAATATTAATAAATTTATATAAATCAATAATATTAATAAAATATTAATAAATTTATATTAATAAAATATTAATAAATTTATATATTAATAAATTTATATATTAAATAAATTTTATATATTAAAAAATTAAAATATTAATAAAATTATATATTAATAAAATTATATATTAATAAAATTAAAAGAATTCAATTACCAATGAGCAGGATAAGTAGGAATTTTACGAGGATTACAAGTGCATGCATGAGTAGCAGCCACCATCCCTTCAATTAAACTAAAATTCATTAATTCATCAATATTTTTTAATAATAACATATCTGCATCCAAATAAATGACTTTCTCATATTCAATTAATTCCCAAACTCTTATTTTTGACCAAGTATCCTTGTAATAATCCCATATATATTTATGTTCTTGATGTTCTTTATGATTCATTGGATTAATCATTTCAATTTCTCGTGTATTAACATTATCCATATTATTTATTAATTTTAAGTCATCTTTTGTTAAATCCGTATTTTGAATATTTGGGACAAGAACAACTAAAGGATATACGGAATTCACGTGAATTAAGGATTTAACAAGACATTCAACTCCTTTCAGGTAAGATTTAGCAGTTAATAAAGTAACCCATGTCTTTTTTGATGCCATTTTTCTAATTTTAAATTTTAAATTTTCTGTTTTTTTTTTTTTAAAATTTAAAAAAATTTTTTCAAAACGAAAAAGAATAAACTCAGAATTCACATGGTATGTACTATTTATATATGCTAAAATTAGTAATGTTACAAGAATGGCTAAACTCTAAATACAACAACAATAATAATATATGTGAATTCGAGATTCCTCATGTGATCATTATGAATTTATAATCTTAATTGTAAATTCTTTCGCGATTTTTGAATTTGAGGAGAGATCAAGAATATAGCTATGTGCAAGGCTAAATTGGAATATCAGTGTAAAAATTTTAATCGTTCTTCGATTCATTTGGTTTCTCTTTGCTATTTCGCAAGGGGACTTGTTGTCATCATTTGACACACTTAATTTCTGCATTATATTTGAGCTATAAAACATGTCAATTTATATGATCAAAAATATGAAACAGAAAAATAATGACTTCAATTCCATACCATTGTGTTAACTACGTTTTTGAAGACTTCAGTAGTACTGAGCAAACTGTAATTGAAAAACTCATTAGCAAGAGTTTGGTTATAACAGAAAAGTTATTAAATAAAAGCCTCAGCGTGGTCTCTCCAAAAGGTGTCAACGTCTTTATAGTATTTACGATGTCCCAATAGTACTTATAATTAGTAATCCGTTTTTAGATGGTAAGGTGGACAGCGCGAAAGTGTCAACCTTAATTGTGTGCATTCCTTCCTGGAAGAAATGTCATCAAAACCCATGGTGCACTACTATTGACAAGACACGAAGAATAACCATTAAAGTTTGTTCAGCGATGCAAAAAAAAAAACGACGAAAAGAAAAACTTTACCCTACGACTTTTTTCCAACTGACTGGTGACCTCGTTCATTAGGTTAGCGAAATTTGTTTTCAACCTGTGAAACTCTTCGAAAAGAGAAAGTCTGTTTATATGGCTCCGCTTATGTCACTTTATATTAATATAGAATGACATTTCAAAAAAGTATCATTGGTTCATTTTTTAAACATTAATATCAATGATTCGATACGAAAAAATTTATTATTCAATAAATAAACTTTTTAAAAATAGTGTCTATAACTTTATATAATCCAGATATTAACTTTAAGTCCATAATAAAGTAATAAAGAAATAACAAAAAGTGTTACAATTTTTTTGTAATTTTATTAAATAAATAATTTTCATAATATCAACTTGATACGTTATTTGCTAATTATTATCTTCATTATCAATCATTATTTCTTTAGCAAATCTAATGAAATATTTTTAAAATCCTCTAATAACAGTTTTAGGAACAAGTATAATATAATGATAACAATATAATGCAATAATAATAAACTATACTTTTCCTGTCTAAATAATTAAATGAAGTGGATTTAGTAATGTTTTATCACATATCTCTTCCATTTTAATTTACTTCTGAATTTATTGATATATAAACTAAAGTTTTAAAAATTTTTTTTTTAAAATATACTTTGGTTTTTGTACTGTAAGTCGATCGAGGTGTGACGTAATTATTTAGTAGCACATGATTTAGAAAATATAAATCATGAGGTCAATTACGCACGCGTAAAAATAATTGTCTTCGATATGTTTTCTATCAGTAAAAACCCTATACACGAATACTTTACCCGAGATTTTACCGAATGGAATATTCGAGAATTTTTAGAAGAATGTGACGAAGAACCATTCCGAGTAAAAATAGATATATATGTAAAGAGTCTTCAGAATATTATCAACAGTGGTGAGGGAAAAAGACTCGAAAAGGCACAATATCTACTAGATCAATATAAAAAGGTATTTGATTATATTTTTGTCGGAAATTTCAAGAAATAAAGTGATGTAGTCCCACTGGACGCAACCTTTTGACTTGGCTGAGGTTCGAGAACGTATTAATTGTAAAAACTTTTCATCCAAGGGTGTACAACGCGATCACAAGGTAGCGAAGGGAAAAAAATCGTTTGCAAAAACAGGTGTATATAAATCAGCCCTCGTATATGGATATAAATAATGATGGAAGTATTCATGAAATAGTGGGAACTTGTCGAACCGAGAGGAGCCTGATTCATCATTGTCAACAGATAGAGAACTCAGAAAGAGAAAAAATGTAAATTATGTTGAAATCTCGGATTCGACATCAGAATCTGAAACAGAATGCGCGGAGAAAAAGGAATATTTCTCTAGATGTATTTTATATTTTTAGTTAAAAACGTTGGAAGGCACTATATTTTATTATATTAAATTTAGCGGAAAATCAAAGAAGGCAAAAAAAGTACACGCATTGAAAAAGCGTCATCAAATAAAAATGATGCGGAATCCAATTCCGGCAGTGTAAGTTTGAATTTTGTATATTTAGGCTTAATAACATTAGCACTCGAGCTCATCTCTTTTTTTTTTCTTAAATCCAGCCTAAGATAAATACGGCCAATTATGATAGATTTGTTGAATTTAATGATATATTAAACTCGGGGGATTCTGGATCAACTGAAAGTGACGGAAACGAGTCTCCTTGCGAAACAGTAAAGAAAAATCAAATGAATCGAAGAATAATTCAGAACACTCCACCATCACCATCATCATTGATTTCAATAATGAGAAGTATTATAAAAAACAAACCACTTCGAAATTTTGTAAATCTTAGATCGATTACAGATTAAATTCAATTCATAATTTTTAATTTGTTACTCTTATACAGTTTGGCGCACAACTTTATCTTGGATCTTACACCCAAGTCTAAAATAGAAAAAGAGTTCGAACCAAAATTCTGGGCAGAGCTCATAGCTGACCGACCTGTCACAGCCAAAGCAGAATTTATAAAGAAATTGAATCCATTTGTGATCATTTATATGGTTCTCTTTGTAAAAAAGTATGATATATTTGGTATATTTGGAAATCTGAACATTTCGAATATTTATGTGTTTATGATATTTATAGAAACAACCGAAAATTTCTGAATCTCATAATAATTGGAAGAACTTAAGAAATTTAAAAGCACCAAAATATAATAATTATTTTTCGTATGAAAAGGAAGAGTGGGAGAAGTTTCTGTATTGGGTAGAACGCGCTGTTGTACCATTGTAAGTCTTTTTTTTTGAGTTTAGATTATGTCGAAACTATTATTAGGATTCTTGAATGATACATCTTTGTCCAATTCCAAAATTTTGTTGAAAACGTTGAGAATTACATTCATTTTAACTATGATTTTTAGTCTCGATGCTTTTGAGTCCGAATACAATCCTATACAACAAACCGATTGTGAGGAAAGGGAGTGGTTTGGGGATTATATCATTCCTATATTTCAGGGAGCTCTAAAATTGAATGTTTCCTGTCGTGTCCCTTGGTAAGTTTTACACCGATTCACTTTTCCCATTTTTAGACTAAAATTATTTAAGTTTTTATGAATCATTTTTAGGGGGGGGGGGGGGGGGTTACAGTAGTTGCAATTACTCGAAGAAGAAATAAAAATAAAGATGTGGTAGAACAAAAGCTTGATCGGGGTCATTTAGCAGATCTACTGTGTAAAAATAAATCAACAAGAAGTTGTTTGTGGGTTGGGTTGCGGTGGACCTCATAAATATGATCTTACAAAATGGGGCTCCGATGAGTATCAACTTCAAAGACATGTTAGATGACATAATAGAAAAATATTGAAATAGAAATAGATGCACATCAAAACTTTATACTATCGGAATTCAGGTGAGATTATTACTGTTGTCAATGATTTTTTATTGAATATTGAATGTTGACTTTTGTTTTGGATCAGCAATACATGACCGAAATCCGAATATATATGATGGAAAAACGGGACGTATATAGATTACATCTATTAAAATTATTTCATTTACCCCTGTCATATTCATCTTATGGCAACCTTCGCCTTGTTCTTTCATGGGCTTGGAACATTAAGGTAGCCTTATTTTTAACATTAATTAATTATCTTCGGAGAGTAACTGCCATATTGCCATATATTAATAAATATTTATTCTAGGGTCTTGTTGAGAAATTGACATTTGAATTGGATGACAGAGCACTTATTTCTTCTAGAACTCCAGAACGAGATTTACCTAATGAACTAGAAACTGAAATAACACCTGACAAATCAAAAAAAAAAAAAAAAAAAAAAAAGAAAAAGGTCAAATAAAGCCCATTTACTACACGAATATCTTTTTTTACTTTTTTTTATATTCTATGACAACAATAATATTGCGTAATAAATGAATTCAATTCTGAAATTTTATTGTATTTCATAACCAAATATTAAATCTGAATTAACAATGAAAATTCCAGAAAATTAAGAATTTCATTAATCAAGCGTTTAAAATTTTTGACCTATAGTCAAATAATTTATAATATACAACTATCGCAGATATATATGTATACTTTGTTTTTTCGTATTAAAAGTCTGAAATCTGGTTTTATGCACTGCGTCATAAGAAACAAAGATAATATTTTTGGGTAGATCAAAGCCTTTATATTCTTATTAAAAAGTTACACTAGGGTTATCAGAAGACGAAATATACATAGATCTCAGAAATTACTCTACGTTATTGCCTTTTCGGTATACAGGTTTACATAGTTGTTACAACGTAACGTGATCATGTAACATTAATGTGAAAAAACATTATTTATATGATACTAGTTTGAATTTGTTAAACTCTTTACATTTATAGTTCGTTTACAAGAAATAAATTTCGCTTTGAACCCTTGATAGAATATTCCCTCGCAATTACTACGTTAAGCATCATTTTTTGTAACCTGCATATTCAAGAACTTCTTCTAATTCATCACGATTTTCAGAATCCGCACTCTCTGCAGAACTAATTGGAAGCTGCCAATAAACTACTAGTATAGTGTTTTATCTTGTTCTCTGTGATTCGATCAAGATTTTCCATGATGTATTTCAAGGATTTGGTTTGGAAATTGTTATCTGATAAATGTGCAAGTTTCCATCCATGATATATTTTCAAGTGTGTTCCAGAAATGATGATATTATATCCTTGTTTTCGTGCAAAATCAATATACAGTTCACATAAGTTACCCGTGTTGTTCAACCTAATGATGATCAATCCGACTTTACGCGAATGTGTTTACCATATCAACCAACTTGCTATTAATGATGATGTCGGTGATAGATTGGATCATGTAAGAGAATGAAAAGGTTTTATCTAATGGCTTTGATGATCGTTTTTATGATTGCTTTGATGATGGCGCCGATGACTCTGATGATAACTCTGATGACATTGATGATGGTTCTTATGAATCAAGGTTCAGCAAAAAAAATAGTTGCAAGTTCTTTTAGGGTAATTACTACCAAGATGAATACATAAGCAGTGGAACCTTTGGGAAGTTTTTTCTGGTCATTATCATGGTCAATCATAACTTGTGACGCATATAATGAAAAGAAGCAAAAAAAAAAAAAAAAAAAAACGTGTACTCAATTTTAAGATATGGATACTCTTATTTATAATATTTATTGATATCAACTTATTATATTTCAATAATAATATTGGGAAACACCATTTCTCAGTTATTACATGAAGGTATGGGTATCTTTACGCGTTGGCATTACAATTAATTGAGGATGTTCACCGTATTGACCCAGCAAACCTTATTGTAGAACAATTGTGTAACAACTTGAAACAATACATAGTTACGGTATTTTACACAATGATATTGTTTAAAGGAATATCCTTTTAGAGCCAAAAGTCGTTAATCAAAAAAAAAATCGTACAAGGAGGAAAAGAAGCTAAAAAAAATTATTACAAATTTGACTATAGAGATTTCATTAGATTATATCAATATGAAATATCAAAAATAGATCAATTTTTTTGAATGATACATTTCAATGGATTTATTATTAGATTAGATTCAGAGAAAAAACAAACACATAAACGCGGATGTTTCAAGGAGCACTATTTAGGACTTAATATCATTTCTACATTGCGAAATGATTAGTTCTTATATCATATATTTTATCATGCACTTATATCTTGTATATTTATCATATATTTTATTAATGAATTCTTCACGCGCGCGTGAATAATTCATATACTGTATATTAAACACGGCGATTTATTGAGAGAATTGAATCCCAAGCTCGTGGCTGCGATTGCTGAACTTAGAAAGGAGAATGCTGAGGTCAAGGTTGAAAATATGAAATTGAGGCAGATTTAAATATATATCAAAAATGCTATCGATTTTAGCAATCTTGCGATCTCAAGATTCCAAAAAAAAAAAAAAAAAAAAAAAACCTAAAAAATTAGATCGACAAAATAAATGTCTGCTCGCCCCCCTGCTGTTAAATGCATTCTGCCATTTTCAACTTTTCATATTTTTCATATTTTTCGTATTAAGTTTGAGTTAAACACAAGTTGAAATGAAGATATCACTAAATTTGGTAACAAAAATTTTTTTTATTTTTTATTTATTTTTGTTAAATAACTTGCATATCCCTTGAAGGAATGCTGTGAAGCAGAACTTTTTTTGAAATAAAGATATAGATGCTCAAGAATATGTTAATGTAAAATTTTTTAAACATATGTGTGATATGATAATGGAGGAACAATTTCGAAAAAATCAAAACCAGTCATACTGGTTGTCCACTGGATTATAGTAGGGTTGTAAGGGTGGACAACCAAAGCTATGATCTTCATCAGTAACATATATAATATTGCATGTTATTGGGTTAATCTGTGATTACTCAATTTTTTTGTTATAACTACAAAATATAAAATAATAAATTAATTAATTTCAATATATATAAATTGGTCATTATAATAATTGACAATGGATGATCTTCTTTGATAAACAGATAATGTCTGATAGATAGATAGATAATATGAACAGATATAATAACAAACATAAAAATATTACATTACAAATTTAATGCCAAGTCACTTAAAAATTATGAAATACACTTGCATTCATTTAATATCAAACAATATAAAATATCACGCGTATATAATATTATACAAAATATCAAATATGAAATAGCTGAGCTGATACATTACCTACAATATTTCGTGCCACACAAACATACAAAATCATCATCGTGAATTTTATAATCAACAGTAATTTCTGAATTTTTCGGTATATCACGTTGAGCGAAAAATGCAATTCTTTGAAAACGGATATCTTTATGTTCTACGAAAAACTAGTAAATTCGAAAATGGTGAAAAAATATTAATTAAATTAAAAATTGAATATACTCAATAATCACATAATCACATAATCACATAAAAATAATTATTGTATATCATAATTATAACTTACTGGAATAGTGACTAAATTCGCATCACATGAATGATTCAAAAATCTACTGATATTACACCAATAATTTGAATCTAGACTAAAATAATATATAATATATAATATAAATAATTGTATATATAATGAATAAAATAATAAATAAATAATAAATAATAAATAATAAATAATAAATAATAAATAATAAATAATAAATAATAAATAATAAATAATAAATAAATAATAACTTACCAAAGAACTTTATCTTTACTTTTCTTATTATAACCATAATCCAAATCAAAGTATGTCATGATATTTAACTTATCATAACAAACGGATCTTATTTCAGATGTTTGATGATTTATTATTTCACCCAAATGTTCCATCACGAATGATCCTTCTTTAATTGGTTTTAACGTTCTTACGCCCCAGCCTTTATTTTCAGTTTTAAAAATCTATATTTGTGAAAGATGTGTGAAAGGTGTGTGTGAAATGTGTAAGAAATGAGAAAGATGCGTGATAAGAAAAAAAAATATGAGAAATGAAAAAGATGTGTGAAATGTGTGAGAGTGGACGAGAAATAAAAGAATTACCTGTAAATTTTTATTACAATTATTACTATTTTGTATAATTCTATTAGGACAAGTAAAATTACATCCGCAAAATGAATTACATTCATATATTGCTCCTATATCTGATCTAATTAATTTTCCATTTTTATTGAATGGATAATCAACTTGAGAAAAATAATAATAATAATAAATAGTTAAAATAATAAAAATAATCAAAAAAAAAATAATAATAATAATAAATCAATAAATAATCCAAAATTAAGAGATAATAAATATTAAATATTAAATTACCTTCACCGTGTTGAACACATGAACAATTAGTAACATCCTATAAAATATAATAAATAAATATTGTTAATATATATATGTATGTATATAAATATATATCTTTATAAAATGTATAATATATAAATTATTACCTTACAATTATCTTTACAAGTACAACCATAATTATAATCTTCATCAGGACTTCCAACATCCCAATGTATTAAATTTTCAAAAGTAAACTAATAAAAATCAGTAATATAAATAATAAAAATAAATAATAAAAATAAATATTATAAATATAAATAAAAAATAAATAAATATTATAAATAAATTATAAAAATAAATTATGAAACAAATATTATGAAAGAATATAAATAAATAAATATAAATAAATAAAAATATAAATAATAAATGGATAAATAAATATAAATAAATAAAATAAAAATCTTTAAAAAATACCTCTAAAATTGGTAATTTTTCACTATCAACATCATTGAATATACTGTATGGTATAGCATTAACATTAGCTATAAATTTGAAATTCCATAATTCTTCATATTGTAAATCAAATTCCATAAATTTCTTTTCTATTTGAGTGATTTTTTCATATACATCTTGTAAAATTTTGGAATTGGAATCTAGAATATCATTTATATTTGTCATTGCAGTTGAATCATCATTGTTATTGTTATTATTCTTTTTCTATTATAAATAATTAATGATTAATAAAAATAATAATTAATAAAATAATAATTAATAAATAACTATAATTAATAAATAACAATAATTAATAAATAATAATAATTAATAAATAACAATTATAATAATATAATTAATAACTAATAATTATATAAATAATTATAATAAATAATGATAATCAATAAACAATTAATGATGTGATGTGATGTGATGATGATAATAATAATAATAAAAAGTAGATCTTACATCAAGTGAATCCCAAATGCCTTTAACATAGATTGGTGATCTGAACATAATTGCACTCTAAATTATCATGAAATCATTATAAATTTTATTTTCCCATAAGTAAATGCTTATTTTTTTTAAATAATGAATGAAATAAATATTTTTACTTACAATTGCTTGAATAAGTTCGATGGAATATTCATAATTCAAAAAATAATATTTCTTAACTAAATTCACTTCAAAATTTGAATCTGTTATTTGGTCTGGATTATTTCTTTAAATAAAAATTCAATAAGCGAGCAGATATATGATTTAATAATATGCTAAAAATTAACTTGAATAAAATCATTAATAAAAATTTAAAAAATTGAAATAATAAAAAATATATAAACTTACTTTAGATATTCACGAAATCGAACCCATTCCAAAGAAATAAAATCTGAATTAAGTCTTTCGTTTAATTCTTGTGTTAAATAAGTGATAGATTCTAAATTTTTGATCCATAAATATACGATACGTGGTGTAAAATAAGATTTTAAATTATATTCTGAAATTGGAATAGTTGGAATAATTGGAATAGTTGAATTGATTATTAAATTATTTAAATTATTTAAATTATTATTATTTATATTTTTTATAATTCTATTTGACCGTCGAGAATTATAACTATTTTGATAAGAATTACTATTATTATTATTTGTGGTTTTTATTGTTGTAAATTGATTATTATTATCTTTTTTTTTTTTATTAAACTTGTTATTCATTTTTGTCATTTTTTTATTTTATTTTTATTATTATTATTATTATTATTTTATTCAATTATAAATTATACCGCGCGCAACTTGAATTTTTTGATTAACAATAGGAGTGTATAAATATCGAGTATAAATAGAGTATATACTTCTAAACCAGAATAATCATTGATTTACTTACTCTGCTTACATAATCATAATCTTTATTTTAAATGGAAATGAATTAATTGTATTATATATTTTTAAATGTATCGAAGTTCGTTCTCTTTTCTTCCTTGAAATATATCCGAAATATGTGTAGATTATTGGTATACAAAGGGAAACATCCAATACAATTAGCTCAGGTATGTTCGATATAAATATTTAAATATTTTTTAAATAAAATAATTTTAATGTTTTTTTTTTTTTTTTCTTTTTTAGCTTCTCACTCGTCCAGCTCACTCTATAATAAATCAATCATTTGATTCTCGACTTCGTTTAGACACAGGTCAAATTAATGGTATAATAAAATGGATTTATATATTTATTTTTTGTTTTTTTAATATTTATTCGAATAAAATGATTTATATTTAATAAAATTATTATTCTTTATGTTTTTAATTATAAGGCGATGGATTTGGAGTAGGTAAATATTAATAATATAATATATGTTTTATCTATTATTATTATTATTATTATTAATTCATTATTATAATATTTAATCCTATTATTATTATATCATTATTATCATCATTATTATTATTTAGGGTGGTATGAATCAAATCCAGATAAAAATGAAAAATCTACGCCTTGTATATTTACTTCCGTGACTCCCGCATGGAATAATCAAAATTTAACAAGACTTGCAGAAAAGATAAAAAGTTCATTGGTGTTTGCTCATGTAAGAGCTTCTACTGCTGGGGTTTTATCTGAGACTAATTGTAATTCTTTCGCTTTCTTTCTTTCTTCCTTTCTTTCTTTCTTTTTTTCATTTATTTAATAATTGTTTTTAATATAATATTAAGATTTTATAATCTAATAAAATCAATAAAATCGTTGGAATTAATTAATTAGGTCACCCATGGCAATATGAGAGATTGATGTGGATGCATAATGGAGATATATCAAATTTCAATAAGGTTTGATTTATTATTTTATTTATTAATTAAAAATTAATATAATTATTAATTAATTTTATACTAATTATTATTATTAATTAGATTAAAAGAAAATTACAACAATCATTGAGAGATGAAATATTTTTACATATTCAAGGAAACACTGATTCTGAATGGGCATTTGCTTTATTTCTTAATCAAGTATGAATTATAATAATATTTATTATAAATTTAAAAATTATTAAAATATCAATAGAAATTAATAGAAATTAATGGAAACTATTATAAATTAATAATAATATTATTATAAATTTATAATTATATTATTATAGCTTGATGATCCAAAAAATGGTCACTTTGATCATACAACATTGAAAGATGCAATGTTGAAAACTATTGGATTATTAAATACTTGGGCCATTGAAGAAGGAATTGATGAGGTTTTATTTTTGTTCATTATATTCATTATATTATTTATATTATTTATATATTTATATTATTTATTTATTTATTTATTTATTTATACTGTTTATTTTATTTATTTATTTATACTATTTATATTATTTATATCATTTATTTATATTATTTATTTATATTATTTATTTATTATTTACAGCCATCTTTACTTAACTTTGCGGTAACCGATGGACAATCTGTAATTTGTACTAGATATATAAGTAGTAAAACTGAAGAAGCGGCTTCTTTATATTTTTCTTCTGGTACATTTTCTATATTATTTTATATTATATTACTATCGATTTTTTCATTTTTTTAAATAATTAATTTAAATTTTAATAATTTTAATATCAATATAAATTATATTATTTAATATTTTAATATCGTAGGTACAAGTTTTGTTGAATATAAACCTGGTCATTATAAAATGGTACGATTTTTATTTATTGTTTATTTTTTATTTTTTTTTTACTTTTTCATTTTGATAAATTAATTTAATAATAATAAAATTTATTAGATTAAAGCAGATAAACGTGAAGATATTGTACTTGTTGCTTCAGGTGAGTCTATCATTGTAATCATTATTATTATTATTATTATTATTATTATTATTATTATTATTATTATTATTATTATTATTATTATTATTATTAT